CCTCCTGGGTTCAGGCAATTCTCCTGCCTCAGCCTCCTGAGTAGCTGGGCCTACAGGCACGCACCACCATGCCCAGCTAATTTTTTGTATTTTTAGTAGAGACGGGGTTTCACCAGGATGGTCTCTATCTCTTGACCTCGTGATCCACTCACCTCGGCCTCCCAAAGTGCTGGGATTACAGGCTTGAGCCACCGCGCCCGACGTATCACATTTTATTTATTCATCAGTTGGTGGACATTTGTTTCTACTTTTTGGCCATTAAGAATAATGCTGGGCCGGGAGCAGTGGCTGAAGCCTGTAATCCCAGCACTTTGGGAGGCCGAGATGGGAGGATCACGAGGTCAAGAGATCGAGACCATCCTGGCCAACACGGTGAAACCCCGTCTCTACTAAAAATACAAAAAAATTAGCTGGGCGTGGTGGCGTGTAGTCCTGTAGTCCCAGCTACCCTGGAGGCTGAGGTAGGAGAATTGCTTGAACCCGGGAGGCGGAGATTGCAGTGAGCCGAAATCATGCCACTGCACTCCAGCCTGGCAACAGAGTGAGACTCTGTCTCAAAAAAAAAAAAGAAGAAGAAGAATGCTATAGGCCAGGCAGGGTGGCTCACGCCTATAATCCCAGCACTTTGGGAGGCCCAGGCTGGAGGATCACTTGAGTTTAGGAGTTCGAAACCAGCCTGGCCAACATGGTGAAACCCAGTCCCTACTAAAAATACAAAAATTAGCTGGGCATGATGGTGGGTGCTTGTAATCCCAGCTACTGAGGAGGCCAAGGTGGGAGACTCATTTGAGCCTGGGAAACAGGGTGCAGTGAGCGGAGATCCTACCCTGCTCTCTAGTCAGGGTGATGGAGCAAGACTCCATCTCAAAAAAATAAAAATAAAAATAAATAAAAGAATAATGCTGCTATGCATATTCACGTATGAGTTTTTGTATGGATGTATGTTTTCAATTCTCTTGGGCATTACCTAGGAGTAGAATTGCTGGACCATATATCTTTATATTTAATGTTTTGAGGAACTGAATCTGTAGTATTTAGATATGTGTACAGACCACTGTACTCTGAATAGATGTTCTAAATTAGCATCTAGAACCATACCCTGAATTCTAGATGCCTTGGTTAGCTTAGTTCTGACTTATAGAAGGGTCCTGTAAAATACTTTTGGTGGGTAATGAGAGTAAAGATATAATGGCCAATATATGCCTATAGCATTCTATATATTTGAAAAGAGGCCCTGAGATATTTCCTGGGACTGCCAAGTGTTTGCAGTTAATAGGAGAAGTAATTGGAACTACGAATTACCTAAAAGTGTTAATTCACTTAGGATATATAATTGCTTTTAAATCCTCAATGTGCTAGACTTCTTCCATCAGGCTTAAAGCTTAATGTCGTCACTTGATAAACGCTGTTTCCACTCATCAATCATTCATGAAGTGCATTGGCCACATATTGTTTCAGCTGGAATGAGCAGTGATCCTAACTATTCTAAATAAAATATCAGATATACCCAACCAATGCAGTTAAATCTGACTTTGGGGCTGGGCGAGGTAGCTCACACCTGTAATCCCAGCACTTTGGGAGGCTGAGGCCGGCAGATCATGAGGTCAGATGATCAAGACCATCCTGGCCAACATGGTGAAACCCCATCTCTACTAAAATACAAAAAATTAGCCAGGTGTGGGGACTGAGGCAGTGGAATTGCTTGAATCCAGGAGGCAGAGGTTGCAGTAAGCTGAGATCGTACCACTGCACTCCAGACTGGTAACAGAGCAAGACTCCATCTCAAACAAAACAAAGCCAAAAAACAAAAATTAGCCAGACACAGTGACATGTGCCTGTAGTCCCAGCAACTCGAGAGGCAGAGGAAGAGGCAGGAGAATCGCTCAAAGCAAGGAGGTGAAAGTTGCAGTGAGCCAAGATTGTGCCACTGCACTCCAGCCTGGGCGACAGAGTGAGACTCTGTCTAAATAAATAAATAAAAATGTTTGACTTTAGTACCTTCTTCATGTGGCTCACTACTCACTTCTTGGCCCTTTTGTATGTTCCTCAATGACTGTCTCCTTTGCTGGGGACCTCTTATTGTTTGATTCCCCAATCCTGGACCAAAAAAACCTGTGGCTGTCCATTTAGATGGTCAATTTAAACCTGGTTTGAAGATACAACCTTCTAAGATAATTCAAGTCTGGCTACATTCCATGACACTCATATGGCCCACAGGAGAATTTTTCTTGCAAAGTTGCAAGTACAGGCCCTTTCTGCTGTAGGTCTCTCTCTCTCTCTCTCTCTCTCTCTCTCTCTCTCTCTCTGTTCTGCCATCAAAGCCTTCTCTAGATAGTCTATTGCTTTTAGACTTTTCCAGGTGACATAAATTCCAGGGCACAGAGTCAACCAGAGTCAACTTGCCTAAAGTTCCTTTACTTGGCTTGAGGTGGAGATAGTGTGGGGTAAGCACTCTCTTCTTCCCACTCCTGGAAAGGGGAACAAAAATGGACAACACTCCAGAAAACTGTCTCTTACCCTTTTTTTTTTTTTTTTTTTTTTTTTGAGACAGGGTATGGCTCTGTCACCCAGGCTGGAGTACAGTAGCACAATGTTGGCTCACTGTGACCTCCATCTCTTGGGCTCAAGTTATCATCCTTCCACCTCAGCCTCCCAAGTAGCTAAGACTACAGGCATTTGCCACCACACCCAGCTAGTTTTTGTATATTTAGTAGAGACCGGGTTTCATCATGTTGCCCAGCTGGTTTTGAACTCCTGAGCTTAAAGTTATCCGCCTGCCTCAGCCTCCCAAAGTGCTGGGATTACAGGTGTGAGCCACCAAGCCTGGCCCTTCTAGGCATGTTTATTCTCCAGTCTTCTTTCATCAATCCTGATTTATCATTCCTGGGAGGTTCATGAGAACGGAGGATTGCTAAATGGTTTTCACATTCTACCAGCATGTCCTGTGGGGATGGTCTGGCATCCTCTTTTAGAATGCTTAGGGTACTTGACATTTATTTTTCTCAGCTTTGGAGCCTCTATTAAAAGACCCACTGAAGGGTCCCATTTAATATGCCATATATCTTAAAAATATGTGCCTGTATTGTTGTACGTTCTTCTTTTTTTTTTAATGTGTGCACTTTTATTCAACTGGTCTCAAGTCAGTGTACAGGTAAGTGCTGGCTGCCTCCACCCACTCCCAGGGAAACCAAAAGCCTTCATACATCTCAAAATGGGGGATAAGAAAGGAGGGCCACGAAGGCTGATCATTCAAAATAAAACAAAATTAAAAGTATTAAGGCGAAGATTTTTTTTTTTAATTGCATTACACAATTTACACGAAAGCAATGCTATCACGTCCCCAGTGTGGACTCAGGAGAGGACTGGGCCATTCTCCTTAGATAGAGGTAGGGTGGCTTTTAGGAGGGCAAGGGACTTTCTGTAACAATGCATCTCATGATATTTGGAATGACTATTAAAAAAAAGAACAACGTATTTAAAAAAAGAACAATGTACAAAGTCCTCACCCACACTGTAGAACTTTGGGGGATGCTCAGTCCAACTGACTGCTGTCACCTATACTGTTCCAGTTTTTAAGTCCTGAGTCAAGCCCCTGTTGCCCAAAAAACAAAACAAACACACACACACAAAATAAAACCAAATAAAGCCATGACAATCTCACAATGTTTTCTGGGCAAGTTAGGTTTTGTCAAGAAAGGGTGTAATATAAGTAATAGTCCACCTAGAAGCATTTGTAGTAGATGATGAAGAGACCGCAGGGGCTGGACTCAACGTATTCCTGCTTGCTGATCCACATCTGCTGGAAGGTGAACAGCGAGGCTGGGATGGAGCCATCGATCCACACGGAGTATTTGCGCTGGAATGGAGTAATGATCTTGATCTTCATCGTGCTGGGCGCCAGGGTGATGATCTCCTTCTGCATCCTGTCGGCGATGCCAGGGTACATGGTGGTGCCACCAGACAGCACTGTGTTGGCGTACAGGTCTTTGCAGATGTCCATGTCACACCTCATGATGGAGTTGAAGGTAGTTTCGTGGTTGCCACAGGATTCCATGCTCAGGAAGGAAGGCTAGAAGAGCGCCTTAGGGCAGTGGAACCACTCTTCGCTGATAGTGATGACCTGGCTGTTGGGCAGCTCGTAGTTCTTCTCCAGGGAGGAGCTGGAGGCCTCCACAGCCATCTCCTGATCC